TGAATGTCCTGAATTTAGGTGGAGTGGAAAGAGAATTGATTTTTCAAACCTGAAAGTATTTGGCTGTTCTGCTTTTATACGTGTTTTCAATGATAAACTTGAACCTAGGGCTGAGAAGTGTGTGTTCCTAGGGTATCCCGAGGGTGTTAAGGGATATAGGCTATGGTTAAACACTAAACCAGGTTTCAAAACTTTTGTTAGTCGAGATGTAGCATTTAATGAGAATGAAATGCCCTGTTTGAAGCAAAATCAGACTTTAAATGATGAAAATACTGCTGTAAATGGTCCTAATGATACTCAGAATGAGGTGGAGCAAAATCATTATAATTTAGCCAATTTAGAGGCTGAATTACTTGATCACAATGCCTCAAATAGAACTGATACCAGAACAACCAGTTCTGATCCAGATTTTAATTCTGGAAATTCAGAGACTGGCCTGGAGATCAGTTCTGATGATGTTAATGAGAGAATGGAATCTGGAATTGCTGAAAATATTGATCAAAATCTGGAAAATTATCAACTTGCTAGGGATAGAGTTAGGCGAAATGTAAGACAGCCCCCTAGGTTAGATGATTTTGATGTTGATGTTATCTCCTTAGCTTATAATGTGTTTGAATCATTAGATGGTAATGAACCAAGGTCATATAGTGAAGCTATGAAATCAAAACAAAGAAATCAGTGGGTTAATGCAATGAATGAAGAAATGAAGTCATTAAAGGAGAATAAAACCTGGATTTTGGTGCCAAAGTTAGCTAACAGTTCTGTTGTTGATTGTAAATGGCTGTACAAAGTAAAAAAAGATGAAAATGGAGTTAGATTTAAAGCAAGATTAGTTGCTAAGGGGTTTACACAAAAGGAGGGAATAGATTACAATGAAATTTTTGCTCCTGTTGTTAAATATTCTACTATAAGACTCATGCTTACTTTGGTTGCCTATTTTAATTGGGAATTGAAACAATTAGATGTAAAAACTGCATTTTTACATGGTGATTTGTATGAAAGGATTTACATGAAACAGCCGGAAGGCTTCTTTGATAAAACTAATCCTAATCATGTGTGTCTTTTAAAGAAATCCCTTTATGGACTGAAACAGTCCCCTAGGCAATGGAACATAAAATTTGATGAATGCATGAAATCTTTGAAATTTAATAGAAGCAATTTTGATCATTGTTTGTATTTTAAAAGTAGCATGTGAGCATCCCATATTCTTGCTATTATATGTTGATGATATGTTGATTATGTGTCCTAGTTTGGAAACAATTAATCATGTAAAAGATTGTTTAAGCAAGAAGTTTGATATGAAATACCTAGGAGATGCAAAGGTAATTCTTGGTATGAATATACTTAGGAAAAGAAAAGATAACATGCTGTTTTTAAATCAGTCTTCATACATTAAGAAAATTTTGAATAAATTCTGTATGGCTGATGCTAAACCTTCTGCTGTCCCCCTCACTTCTAATTTCATTTTATCTAAAGAGCAATGCCCAAAATCTGAAACTGATGTGAAATACATGCTGAATGTGCCTTATACTAGTGCTGTAGGTTCTATTATGTACCTGATGGTGTGCACTAGGCCTGATTTAGCATATTCTATTAGTTGTTTGAGTAGATACATGGCTAACCCAGGTGTTGAACACTGGAGTGCATTAAAGTGTGTGTTTAAATACTTAGTTGATACTATTGAAGTTGGTCTAGTATTTGGTAAACACACTAATGAGTTAAAACTGAATGGCTATGTGGATTCTAATTATGCGAATGATAGAGACTCTAGGAAGTCTACTACGTCGTATATCTTTACTTTGTGTGGTTCTTGTGTTAGTTGGAAATCCCAACTACAACATATTGTTGCCCTCTCTACGACAGAATCGGAATATGTGGCCATAACTGAAGCATTGAAGGAAGGTATGTGGTTAAAAGGTTTATTAAATGAAATAGGCTACTTGAAAAATGAAGTAACAGTTTTTTCAGATAGTCAATCCGGAATTCAGCTTTGTAAAAACCCAGTCTTTCATGATCGAACGAAACATATAGATGTTAGGTTTCATTTCATTCGTGATATAGTGTCTAAGGGTTTTTTAAAACTAGAAAAAATACCTTCTGAGTATAATCCTGCGGACATGGGAACAAAAGTTTTATCAATAACAAAATTCAATTTGTGTAAGAAAACAGTTTATATAGATACTTTTGATTAGGAGAATCTTTAAAACTTGAAGGTTTGTATCTTTTGTTGTTTAAAATTCTGTTTTCAGCATGACATATTTAATCATGTAGCTGTTTTTTGTTAGTTGTGAAGCTGAGTTGTTTTTATAGTTGTTTTAAAACTTGAGAACATTAACCGTGTTAATAAGTCCGCAGGTTAAAAGACTAAATCGTTGGAGCTCGGACAGGGATGACACCCTTGAAGCACTTTCTCCAATGCCCAAAAAGGTGGAGATTTGTGATGTTTTGTGCATATTACACTTCGACCCGACCCGACCTATCGAAACCTGGATCCCGTGCCTGCGGTTCGACCCGATTGAGTGATGAATTGGAGGATGGGTTCGGTTGGCCTGAACCGCCCTGGACCGCCCTCAAACCGGTCCAAGGGGTCTGATATATATACACTGCTTCCCGGTTCACTAGACAGATGAATACTCACTTCTTCACATCGCGATATTCACTCTCTGAAGCCCTAGCTTTCCCGACGAACGCGATCGATCTGTCTGGTGCATTCCGGCGAGTTTGGCCATCGGAACTTGAAGTTCATCCACCGTGGTTGTATTACAGCTTGTTCTAGAGCTGTTCTTCGGTTTGATTTCTCGATTCTATGTTTATGGGCTGTTCGTGGTGTAATTGATTGTCCGCGATGATTTAGGCTTAGAATCTTGAGATTTCTTTCGATTAGGTTGTTAATCGCGCTGATTGTGCGTTTCTGTGGATGTCGGTAGTGTTTGGGTCGAGGTTGTGTGTAAGTGTTGCTAGTCGGTTGAAATATTGGGTAAACTGAGTCCGAACTCCTTCGATTAAGAAAGTATATAAAAGATTCAATGTTTCTTGTTTCATATGTGTTCGATTAGTTGTAAACTACAAGTATTAGGTCCTAAATTTCGATTACAGTGTCGCTGACTTGGCGGACACGTGAATTTTTTTATTTATTTTTTATTTTTTAAATTTTTTTAAAACTTATTTTTAATTTATTTTGAATTTTATTTGTATTTTTTTTTTAATTTTTTTATTTGGTTCAATAAAAAAAAATAAAAAATTGAAAAAAAATCCACGTGTCCGCTGGGTGTCGCTAACCTGGCGGGACACCTGGCTGACACGTCACCTCCGGCGAGCCACGCGGGCGTCTCCGGTGCCGGAGGACTAAAACAACGAAAATTTTTTACTTATGGGACTAGTTTGCGACATGCTTCACTTACAAGACTAAAATGATAAAGGGTCCAGTTACGGGACTTTACCATATATATATATATATATATGAAATATCCAGCTTATGATGAGCTTAGATTGTGTGGAATTTTGATGAAGATATCGATCACCACAGCTCATGCACATTTTTCTGGTGTGAAACAACACAACACAGCTCAGATATATATATATATATATATGTGTATATAACATGTGAGCTTAGGGTCCACACAGAGACGACGACAGGAAGAAGACGACTTGAGAAATTGGGAATAAATACATACATCAAACAGCTGGTTCTCATTAATACATACAGTCTTTCTAGCTTAACTAATTATACTATAGCATAAACTAATTTTTTTGTCATCCTCTTTATCATTTTAAGACAATTAGGATGTGTTTCTTTTCGTTAAGTTTGGGAAAAATTGGTTTAGGTTTAATATTAAAATAATGTTTGATTGGATATTTTGTGAGAGAAAAAAAAAAAAATTTCAAATAGTAAAATTTGAAAAAATTTTGTTAAAGAAACATAGTTTTGACAGAAATAGTCATATGGTATCGAAGTTATTTCATACATAGGGCCCTTATGATCTGGCGGAGCTGATGTGTTTGCACATAATCATATTGTCGGTGCGTATTTTGATAAAAAAATTTATTCTAAATCCTCGTATGACTTCATTTATCATTTTAGGATCTTAGGGGTCGTGGCATTGGCAGCACAACTATGTATATACACACATCAACCCCAACAGGTCATTCGAGTGCCACCCATGCGACTCCGGTATCTGAGGATTATTTCTACCAAAATTTTAAAATTATTGAATTATTTTTATACAAAATCCATTTATAGTTTTAAAATAATAAGAAATTCGGAACTAAAAAAAAACCGTTTGTTGATATATATATATATAATTTATAATTGAATGAGAGATTAAAAAGTTGAAAGAATCATGCCCTCTATATATTCTAATTCAAACTCTAACTCGGCTACTATTAATCCACTCATATATATATATATATTATCTCCATTAGTCAAATTTACTCAATTTTCTTTTTAGTCTATCTATTAAATTTATCGATTACTAATTTTGGCAAAGTCAACAAATTAATATTTAATTATTATTTTTTTTCAACACTTATTTACAATAAATGTCATTATATTTATTACATTATCTCCCCCAATTTTCTTTAATTCTAACTAAATTTCTAAAAGTATTCTCAACTATCTTTTTTTATTTTTATTACTTTTTCAATAAAATATTTATTTATTTTTTTAATTTTTGTATCAGACATAAATGTTTTTATATATTTTAACGGAACGAAGGGAATATTATATATTGAAATCAAAGATTAAGAAATAAGTAACAAAATTTTTGAAGGTTTGAAACTATAGGCATTCAGATTAATCCTACTACTAGCTATATAGCTATAAAAGCAAGTCCTGTTATTGCTGAAACATTTCTAGTGTAGATCAATGAGCATATATTATTGTAAGGCCAGTGGGGCTAGCTAGCTGCAGCAGATTAAATATATATTTTATAAATACATATATCTATATATAAATATATTTGTATCCCATGTTGTCTCTGAGACGCTTGTATCATTCTTAGCCACAAATAGATCGACATCGAATCCACGTTCTTATTATATAAATCTATAATTAGCATATATATATATATTGCCATGCAAACAGAAAACTGCAATCTTAGACAGGTAGTGATTAGCAGTTTATTGTTATGGCAGGATTATCTTTCAGAAAAATCATCTTCATTTCGTCTATGTTCTTCCACAACCATCTAAAGATCTCCAAATTAAGTTCCAAGCAAGGTGTCTGTAATGAAGCACAATTAGGGTTTCTAAATTTGGAGTCTTTAGGGAAAAAGACCGACCTGGGAAATCATGTTCTTTTATTTAATGGTGAAAGGGTTTTGCTTAGATCTTCGTCTTCTTCTTCTTCGCTGTTTCCTTACTTCATGCTCGTGGCTTTCGAAGCTGGAAGCCTTATAAGGGCTTTAGTCCTTTTGCTTCTTTATCCTCTCATATTTCTTTGCAGTGAAGATTTAGCTTTGAAGGCTATGGTGATGGTGAGCTTTATTGGGCTGAAAAAGGAGAGGTTTGTAGAGGGAAGATCTGTGCTGCCAAAGTTCTTTCTCGACGATGTGGCAATGGAGAGCTTCGAGGTTGTTCGAAAAGGGAAAATGGCTGTGGCCATTAGTGATTTGCCTCAGGTTATGGTCGAGACTTTCTTGGGGAATTATTTGGGGATCGACTTTGTGGTGGGAAGGGAATTGAAAACTTTTCGAGGATATTTTTTGGGAGTGATGATGGAAGAACAGATCAAAAATGATGAGGTTGAAGCTTTGATCAGCAACAGCTCTAACAAGGTTTTGGGGATTGTTAATGGCTCCAAGAAATTGTGTGTTGATGATTATTGTCGATGGTTTTCTCACTGCAAGGTAACTTTATACAATCTTTGTTTGATTTCATTAGTTAATAATCCAACATTAATCGATCAGTTTGTTCTTTCTTACTCATGAAAAATTGTGGAGATTTGATTTTATTTTAAGTGAATCAAGAACTTAGTTATCAAAAGATTAATTAGTTAATAGACCCCATTTGGATTATGGATTATAATCATTTTTGGCTTTGGAATCCATTAATGTTGGAAGAAAAGCTTCATAGTGATATGAATGATGGTCCAGTGCAATTAAGAAGTTAGGTCAGCATCATTCATTTCCTTGTTTGTGTACATACCTAACTAAAATCAGCTTTATAGAATTAATTTAAGAATTGAAGATGCTCTTGGCAATAATATGTTGATGAGTAATTAGAAAAACAACCCTTCCAACTTAGTGAAGTTCATACATTTCATTTTAAATTTTTTAATGTATTTTTTATTATTATTATTATTTTGGTAAGTATTTAATTGTTTATTTTCAGTTTCAACTTATGTTTTCATTAATAAGATTACACTTAATATTTGACTTGCAAATTTTCTCTTATTCGATTATCTCAATTGATGCATTGTTTTCAATTTCAACTTTCACCAAAGAAAAATAGTATATTTGTAACGAAATTCCGTTCTTAAAATTCACGTAGCTAACCTAATTTTATCATTAATTTTATCTCTAATATCACTAGTAATGAAAAAAGTAAATTTGGAGACGAAAAAATCTCTTTAAAAAAATGATATTTTATGGTAATATTTAGTTTATATTAATAAGATTACACTTAATATTTGATTGTTTTCTCTTATTCTTATAATCTCAATAGGTGCATTGTTTTCAATTTCAGCTTTCGTTTTCATTAATAAGATTACACTTGATATTTGATCGGCAAACTTTTCTCTTATTCGATAATCTCAATTGATCTAATAGGAGATTTACTCAGTGAGTGAAGAAGAAAGAAGCAAATGGCATAAGCTTCCAAGAGATTGTTACCCAAAACCCTTAATTTTTCATGATGGAAGGTTAGCTTTTAGGCCAACATTCTTTGCTACACTAGCAATGTTCACATGGCTTCCCATGGGAATCGCGCTCGGGATTCTCCGGATCGCAGCTACCGTGACGCTATGCAATGCACTAAGGTTCCCCATCCTACACTTAACCGGAATTCATATTAGGGTTTACAATTCCAAGAATATCGACTCATCACAAGATAGAAAGAAAGAGAAAGGCGCATTATACGTATGCAACCATAGGACGCTTATCGATCCTCTATTGCTCTCATTTTGTCTCAAGAAACCCTTAACCGCCGTGGTATATAGTTTGAGTAGAATTTCGGAGATCTTATCACCAATAAAGACCGTGCGCTTAACAAGAAATAGGGATCGAGATGCCAAGTTATTACAAAACTTGTTGAGTCAAGGCAATGTTGCCCTTTGCCCCGAGGGCACAACTTGTAGAGAGCCGTATCTGCTGAGATTCAGCCCTTTGTTCACTAAAATAACCGATCGTGTCCATCCTGTCGCCATCAATTGCCATGTTACCATGTTTTATGGAACCACCGCGCGAGGGCTAAAGGTTCTCGACCCGTTGCTCAACCTCATGAACCCGTGGCCTACGGCATGGGTTCACTTTTTGGAAGTGGCGCACGTCGGAGGCAGCGCAATGGCCATTGACAATGGAAGTGATGAAGAAAATTCAAAATATGAAATGGCTAATTTGGTTCAAGCTTCCATTGCCAAAGAACTAGGGTTTACTTGCACTAAGCTTACTAGGAAGGATAAGTACTTGATCTTGGCTGGAAATGAAGGGTTAGTTTGATCATTTTAAGATTCATAAGTACATGTTGGTGTGTTTTTTTCTGTTTTTTGAAGGATAATTTCCTTTACTTTTCCTTCTTCTTGCACTCATCCAAAGTTCTATATATGTATCATACATCCAAAGTTATGTTTAGTTTCATAGTTGCTTGTAATAATCGATAGTGATAAGTTTAGGCACATAAGATTGATAGACAGTATTGTATGATGATATGGCGTGAAATCTACTTATTTTTCTTTTTAAATTTTATCATCGATTTCTTCTTTTAAATTTCACTTAAGGTTTATTCTGGGCTCGAATATTAACCCTCTCAGATGATTGGAATCACGATTGTTGGAATCTCTATGAAAAGAAGGAAAACTTCTTCGAAATAGTAGTTAATTTTTAGAATGTTTCAATGAATGTTGAACATGTAAAAAATAAAGAATATATGTTAATACGGTCTAATCTAATTTAGGTCGTACATATAATCTAGATATCAACCCACAATTTCTAAACAAATTAATGTCTTTGATCGGGTACGGATAGCAGTTAGTCCGTCGATATTCAGGTTCGGATCACCCGATACCGGTACCGTGTCATCGCGATGTTTTTAGATTGATTGATTTTTGGTGTTTAACAGGAGATAATTGTGTCATAAGTATAAAATAGTAGGGGATAATTGTGTCATAAGTATAAAATATATTATTTTAAATTAAATTTTTTATTTTTTATTTTTTGTAATAAGTATATAAAGTTTTTTCTTTTATTTTTTTTTTATTTTTGCAAATATATATATTATTTATTATTATTTTTGAGAAATCACCATTAAAAAAACATAGAGTGAATTATTCTCTGTTCGACTTTTGTTGGGATAGAAATGGAATCAAGCATTTCTTGAAACCAGTAAATTAAGTTTTAGGTAGTGAGATGTTTCATGATGCATTCGATCGATAATATATAATTTCCAATATTATTTTAATTTGATTGTCTTTTTGGGTCTATATATAATTATTATTAATATAGTTCTGACAAACATTTAAGTGTGGGTTGTTAGGTTTTTTAATAACACTTGTACCAATCCATCCAAGCGATGGAATTATATCCTATATTTGTATAATTTTTTATACGAATATCGTTTTATTAGTATTATAAGATATAAATTATTTTTGTAATTTTTTTTTTAAATTTGTACTAAATTTTGATACTCCCTCCGTCCACTATCTATCTATCTATTTACTTTTTGCACGTAGATTTTAGTATATTAGTATTATATTGATATATTGTACAATTGATATGATAAAGACTATTATATCCCTTAATATTTATGGTATTAACTGGTGTTATTTGATGACATTTGTGTAATATTATATAAAGAGTGGAGTAATTTTATATTTTAGTGGAAGATACATTTACTTAAAAAAGAAAATAGATACATTTGCTATGAACAGGCTAAAATGACAAAATAGATAGATTAGCGGTCGAATGAGAAAGTATAATAATTAATATTTAAATATTAAGACGGAAAAAGTAAATAAAAATTTAGAGCGGAACGAAGGTAATATATAAATTTAAAATTATTTTCATTCCTTATAAAAACTAATTTTATTATTTATTCCTTTAAATCTTATTATCTGTGTTTGTAGCCGTTATCACGCCACTTGTCATGATGGAAGAGTTTTATATATAAATAATAAAGTTTATTATTATTAATAAGCATATTTTTTAAATTATTAATTTGTGCATTTTTTTGCATATAAATACATATAATAAATAATAATTGGTTATCTATTTCATTTATTTCAATTGAATTTTTTATTTTATTAAAAAGAATAAGTAATTATGATTTTTCAGATTAATTTCTTTTCTTTATCATCTGACTATATTGTATATTATCATTTTTCTAGGAGCTCATAATGCAAGTCCCCATGAGTATGAAAAAATAGATGAAAAAAAATAAAATAAAAAAAAGAACAAAAATAATAGTAATATTTTCGTTGAAACAACTATTGAGATATTTAGTACTTCCTCCGTCTAATTTGATTATTTTTTTGTTATGAATTGACAAATTTGCTCTTAATTGTATAATAGAGATTAAAAATAATAAATGAATGAAATATAAAAATGTAAAATTTGTGCTTAAAAAAAAAAAAAAGATAATAGTTGTTGAACGTCCAAATAGAAAAGTTGTGACGCAGGAAGTATTAAATATCTTAATTAATATTAATAATTAATATAAAATCATCCAAGTCATTTTAAAATCATCCATTATCGCATATATTTTTATTCTTTTATTTATGTAGAATCCCTTAATTAATCATAGATCATTATTGTAGATTGATTTGTATATGTTATAACCTTGCCATCATTGTATAAACGATAAGAACATATTTCTTCCAAAACTTTATATCACATCAAAGCTTATGTTATTTAATTCTTACAATTATTTTATAAAAATATGTCACTTTACATTATTTTACATCACATTCCAAAATAGAATCAAATTCTTGTTTTAGAATAAATTCCAAAACTACACACAATCTAACTTCTAAAATTAAATTGAAAGTAAAGAAAGTGTGTTTCTTTTGATTTGGTTTGAAAATTTTGATTTGGGTTTGCTATTAAAATAAATTGTGATTGAATATTTTGTGAAAATATATATATATTTGAAATAAACGCATAGTTCAAATAATAAATTCTCTGCTTTAAGAAAAAAAAAAAAAAAAAAAAAAAAAGAAATTTAAGAAAAGATTTGGTGCAGTTTGACTTTTTAACCTTTATCATGTAATAAATGATACTATCTCGTTCGGCTTCAAGGGTCTCATTTATTTTTTATGTATTTATCATTAAATATTACTCTCTCCGTCTAGATACAAAATATACATATTTCTATTTTGGAACGTTCAATTATAAAGTAAAAATTTCATTAAATGCTTCACTTTTTTTTCACAAATACTCTTACTTTACATAACATCGTTACTTTTACACAAAAAACTAAGGGCGAAAATGTCATTATAATACTTTTAACTACTCATTATAATTAAAATATTATTATTTCTTAAACATCGAGTCAAAAGTAAATATGTACCTTGAATTAAGAAAAAATTGCAAAAATACTTTCATTAGTGTCTTATAATATTAATAAAAATATATTTGTACAAAAAGTTATACAAATATATGAATATTTTTAATGTTAACTATAATGACGCAGAAGGTTAATGTAACCCTTAGAGGCGAAGCTTACGAAGTATAATGATATTTGAATGGTATTTGGTTGTTGCTCAAGAAAACAACAAATATAAATATCAATAGTATTAAATAAAATAAAAAATATGTTTGGGTCTATCATCGCAAGGGAAAGAAACACGCTGGTTCCGTTTCTTCGTATAAAATAAATTATTATTAATTTTTACAAAAAAATAAAATAATAATAATAATAATAATAATAATAAAGAAGTTATCATTTATCTATTTCTTTTGTTTATTTTTTTTTTAAAAAAAACAAACTATTAAGATTTTTATTTTTTTTTTCCTACTTGTGTAAATTTGCAAAATTTAGCTCGTAAATATTAGTTTTCGACGAAGACGGTATTTGTGTGAACTTTAATTTAACAAGATTCATAAATAAAATATGAAGCGTTTTATACAATTTTATTAAAATACAAAAATGTGGCTTGAGTGTTTAAAAATAGAGATAAATATGAAAAATATATATATATTTCTTTTGTCCCGTACTAATGTATATATTTCTATATTTTTGTTGCTATACATATTTTTAGTAACTATATATTTTATTCATTTTTATAAACACTTATTTTATCATCATATTATTATTTTTATATTAAAAAAAATTATACAATTTTTAATTAATTATTATAATTAAAATATTATTATTTTTAAAATTTTGCGTTAAAAGTAATTTTTATAGTGAATAGAATATATTTCATTTTGAAAAATAAAAAGAAATGATGTCAAAGCAAAATCTAAGCTCAGTAAAGTCGAGCCTGCGGTATTTTTCCGCTTTTTGAGGATTTGAAATATGTTGTATATGTATAATTTATATATATATATATGATTTATTTGGCATATACAAATATAAAGGATTGTAGTTTAATTGAATAAAAATTAATTTTTAATATTGAGATTTTATTTAATTATTTATATTTTATTATAAATAAAAATATGTTATTTATACATATTTAAGGGCCTATTAACCTTCAAAAGTCAAGACCGCTCTATCACACACTCAGCAATAGTAATATCCTATTCATGCCCCTTGAGCAATTGAGGAAGACACTCTTAGATTGAATCTCTGCTAAAAAAAACAGTAGTGGATGAATATATATATATATATATATATATCTATGTAAAGAGAGAATTGAGGGAAAATCGAGTACAATTATAAACCCTTGCATTGCAATATTGTGGAGAGAGTAATATTTAAATAAAAAAATAAAAATAAAAAATACTTGTAGTGATATGCGGCAAGGGAAAGACAGCCAATAAAAAGAGTGATGAAATATATATATATATATATATGTAAAAGAAGAAAACGAAAATAAGAAGAAGAAGAGGAATGAGAAAATTATTTCGAACTAGAGGTAGTTTTTAATCATTTGTTTTTATATTATGCATAAAATAATTATTTGGGTAATGGAGATTACGAAACGTCTAAAAATTTAGGCTTCATTCTAACTATTTTAATGTGTTTGTTGGAATGTGAATCTAAATAATAAAAAATTTGAATTTGAACAATTATTTGATATAATATAAATAAATATGATTTAATATTTTAAATATAAAATTATTTTTAAATATAATATAAAAAATAAAAAATTAATATTTGATTTAAATTTTTCTTAGGAAAATAAATAATGAATAATAAAAATTCGATAAAATATTCCATAAGAACACACTATGGTCTTCCTTAAAAGTGCATTTTTGGTAGAGATTGAAAATTAGTTCTTTTGTTTGGAAAGACAGAAAATTCAGTTGAAAATTTTTTAAAAAATAAAATAAAAATACTAAAGCATAAATAGAATACGTTATATTGCTAGTTAAAAAAAATAAAAATACATGAATCATTAAAAGATGATAAATTAGATAAGAAAAATATTGTCTCTATGCATTATTATTATTATTATCATTGTGATGAGGGGAGAGAGTAAGAATGATGGAAGAATAGCTAAGCATGGGATATAAATTATTATCAAGAAAGTGAGAGTATTGCCTGATGGCTATCTCTCTGTCCGCCAGATCCTCGCTCAGGAAGTCGTACGGCGCCGCCTTGCTCGTGTCCACCAATGGCTCCCACCGGTACCCTGCTCGATCCGGCAATGCAACAGTCGCCACTACATGACTCGCATTGAAGGCCACGTATAATTCCCCCTTAGCCGAGTCCATCTGCCACAAGTTTGATCCAACAACAATCAAGTTAAGAAGAAGAAAAACAAAACCTAAGAATAGAAACCACCAGGGCAAGCTATGCTATGCGTTAATGGTTTGCTCGACAAAAAATGTGTCTTCAGTGTCGGGCATCTGTTTACACAATAGGCTTACCACAGTGAATGCCACAAACCGGCTTGTCTCAGACCAGTCTGGCATCCCGGGAGTATGTCCGTGCCATTGAAGCTGTTCAGCTGTTGGGAAGTTGTTTAAGCCAAGGGACTCGCACTCGCTGAAATATAAAAAAAAAAAAAAAAAACAAGGAGGTCGTAAGGGAGGCACCATTTACCGTGCATTACAAACAAGAACTAAGGCGGGGGTTTACCGGCGAAACTTGGTCATAAGGCAGCAAAATCTGAAGAAATCCGTCGAGGACTGCTCCATCTTATCCCATCGGAAATAATTTATCTGCAGATAAATTATCAGGAATGAAAAGGGACGGCGACGCAGCAGAAAATTGAAATCAAATCCGCAGTCAATTGAGAGTCGCTTGTTACATAATTATCATGGCAGTACGTGTTGTTGTTTCCGCCTTTTGTGTGGCCGTACTCATCCCCCATGTAGATCATCGGAACACCCTGACCACCAAAAATGCAGAATGAGATACAATATTTATCATGGAGTCACTAATCATCTGCTTTTTCTCTTTTTCCGGGCAGGATGTCGAAGACAGACAACATAAAGAAACCCACTTGGGAAACCATGAGACACAGGAAGAAATTTCTCATTTGGCGTCTTCTCAATTTCTTCACAGAAATACCCACAAAATCTCCCTCCTGCAATAAAGTTGGGGTAACGAGATGAAATTTCCTGCCGAAATCAATGCAAAAAAAAATAAATTAAATCATAATTATAAAAAATAATGTGAACTTGCAAGGCATCTTGCATTCCTTTGGCATCCAGAGAAGTATCGATTTTGCAATTGCATTCTACACATATATCCATTTGTGATAAGTAGCATGAGCAAATCACATCATTCAAGGGGAAGGGACAGTAAAGAGGACAAGAAATCTCCAACCGAATGCCCTTAGCACCTTCGGTAAAAGGTACATATCCAAAGGAATAGTTTCACTGATCACTTGCAACTTTTCACTAAAAAGTAAAGATCCAAAAGAATATTTCACTAAGAAATTACCTGGCCGCAATTCCAGCTATTATTGTGATTCTCCCCATCCCTGTTCTCTTCACCATTAGACAGGTTGTGCTTGTCATTATATGATACTAAATCAGCCAAAGAAAAACCATCATGAGCGCACACAAAATTGATACTGTTCCAAGGTTTCCTTCCACCTTCCTGGGTCAGATACAAAGCAATTCAAATCAAAAGTACATTTAAAAGAGAAAATAAAATGCATACTTAAAATCAATACCACACCAGAACAGTTATGTTGCAAGTTTTGCAATTCTAATCAAGATTACCTGGTAAAGACCTGGACTACCACAGAGACATTCAGCAAAAGCCCCAGAAAACCCATCCGTGCCCTTGATAAATTGCCTTACAACATCACGATACTGAAAAAAATAAAATAGCATTCGCACAAAGTTATGACAAATTTAAAAGGAGAAAGGAACTCAACCATTTACATATGTCAACATTTAGCAAAAGCATTATATACATGTGAATTCAAATTTAAATCATTGAAGATGCATAATTATTGAAGATAAATAGTTTGAACTGCCTCTCATATACTTTTCAAAAGTTACAGGTGCATGGTGACTATCTAAGCTTGCTGATGATACCACATTATGACTTTTAGGAATGGAAGATTAATCCATGGAATAACATGAAAACTTCATATAGTGCTGCATAAGAACAAGATGTTTCAATGTAGTTAATTGACTAAAGTCATGCAACTGTCACCAAAATTAATATACAAAAACGAAGTTAGGTATTGCATATAAATTCATGAAACAACTTCTACTTTGTTAGAAACAGCATCTATCTTGTCCCTCGTTATACCAACAAAAAAACTTCATTAATAATACATCACTGAAAGAAAGAAGAGAAGAGTTAATTTATGCTAGAGTTTTCTAGATGCATGTTCTTTTATTAAACAATTATTAAATAAATAGAATAGCGGTTTAAAGAAAGTTATTGAACAAGCATATGCGTATTAAGAAATAATAGATAAGCAAGCAATATTCTACTTACCTTTCCATTCCATTCTGACCATATGCCCCAGTGTGGAAATGAACCAACCTGATAGAGGCCTCCACAGTCCCAAGCTTCAGCTATAAGCTGATTAAGGAAAATATAAACCTGATTAACCTTCCATCTAAATATAGACGGACAAATATGGATGATAACAGCACTGCACCAAGTTCATAATTACAGTAACTAAAATTTGATGGCCAAAAATCAGGTAGCAAAAAGCAATTGGGTTGACACCAGTGAAAGTGTAACACCGAGCTCGCAAACCATACACATTATTGACACGAGTAATCTATTCAATCCATTTTAGTCACAACTATTCAACACCGGAGGTATCACATTCTTTCCGACTTAAGAATGCAACCTCTATGTTGCATCCGAAAGATCCATCAAATGCTAGGCCCTCTGTAACACTCTGGTTCGCAAGCCACGCAGACAGGGCATGTCGGGATTACACTAACCCAACAGGCCAACACGAGTCCTTCTAGCGTGCCATGTCTTCACTCACGCACCTTTATATACTTCCCTGGGATCACTCATTTTGAAATTACCAAGGACTAATGGGCACAATAGAAGATAAGGGAACTTACTAACAGGAAAGAGGAGAGACAAAGGAAGGGGTGAAGAAGTAGAACTGGTACCGGGCAGGAAAATAGATGCCCCAGTACAGAGATTGCAGCTACAACCAGTAGGAAGGAGAAGGGGTGAACTGTAAGGAAATAGATGGGTGCCCACAGCCCAGAGATTGCAGTTAGAAAAGGGGAAGAAAGACCATTCACATGTGCACATTGCTGACACAAGTAGTCTATTTAGTCCATTTTAATCACTATTCAACACTGGGGTATCACAGAAAGAAAGGCTAATCTTTCTGTAAGATGGAAGCAAAATTATCTCACTCGACACTAGAAATATGACAAAAATGACAAGACATGGCGGCTACCAAATTCAACTGAATATTACTGACTATTACTAATTAGTCTATGAGAAAGTCAAGTAAAGCTATAAGTAATTAAGCAATAACAAAAGAAATCTATATACCTTTACTCCACGGAGTATGGGGTCATTGCTGATCATGTCAATCAACGGTGGGCTACTGAGAGGTGTTCCAGTTGTGAGTGTATCACCTTCAATTGCATTGCCATATACATTCACAGCATCCCAAAGACTGAACAAACCCAAGCCAAGGATAATACAGAATTAGTACTGAATGCTTGTGCTTTAAGTGTGGCAGTTGATGTACCAGCTGACCTGCTACTCCTTGTCAATATAGAAGCAAGATCAAACCGAAAGCCATCTACATGCATCTCTGTTACCCAGTATCTGTTGATAATCAGGACTAAGAAAGATAAATACATACCAAAGTGTGTTAATGTGAGTTGAAATATTACGGAAAACATGATATGGTAATTTCTTATTTGTTACAGTAACCAGTGCCTGACATACATTTACATCAATTGATCAGCGCATGGAAACTGACTTCCTCGAACGAAGGTATACAATAAGTAAAAATAACAGCTCTTGAAAAAGATCAAAATCAGAAGGGTATGCAAAATTTACACAATCTTTGATTGCTTTCAGAAAGAACTTAAAAATTGTAAGATTCAATTGCAAAACAAAACAAAATTTGGCAAATGTCTCAGTTGGAGAGTAAAATCATTCACTGTTTTCTCACAAACAATTTGGTCTCATGATTCATCTTTACTTGTCAAGACATATATTAAGCATAATAATTCTCTTATAGTTTTATAAAGAAAGAGGATTGCAAAGAATTTCCGATATATGGGATATCAATAAGGAAAGGACTTCCAACACATTCACAGTTACAATAATTCAATGTATTGGCATGTTTCAAGGTATGTAACGCAAATCAATACCAGTTGCAACGCCAACATTAATGAAAACTCTTTATCATTTCTATCAGGGGAACCATGGAAAACCCATTATATGGATCAAAGTTAACAAACTGCAGCAGAAGGACATTTCAGTTCATGAATTTTCAAGTAATTTTACCTTAGACAGTCCAGAATAAACTGTCGTGCAATGGGGTGATTGCAGTTGAAGGTATTGCCACAACCAGAATAATTGTAGTATTCACCCTGTTTTCAGAAATGTTATCCATACGGTGATAAGGATATCAGCATAACTATCATTACTCAAAAAGTTTAGCATCTCAGCCTCAGGTTGAAACATCTAACCTAACCTAAGGGATTACTAAACCTAGAATGTGTGGCAGGACAAAAGGGGAATGTGAAACTTATTTTGAACAATGAACACATCTGTATATTGGATAAAAATAAAAGACAGTAACTGCTGGGGACTGATTCGACTGATTTCTTTATAAAGTTTGGTGAGAGAATAAAACGAAACCAAATCTGGGAAATTAGAGTATGTTTTATTATTATTATGATTATTATTATTTTATGTATTTATTATCTTTTTTCATGTATGTGTGTATTTGGTTTTGATGTTTTTTGAGGTAAAAATGATTGTTTTACGTGATGTTTTGAATGGAAAATCAATGGAAAATCAGGCTTTGTTCACTTTGAACTTTCTTTTAGATATTTTACCATGCCACTCTATGTAACAATACACTATTTTCTTTCACAAAACATCATATCCAACTACTGTTTAAACCAAAAAGCAAAATCAACACACCAAAAAAGAAAAGGATGTCCAAAAAGAATGCACTCTTGAGTGTCAAATGTAATGTCTTTTAGGGAGAATGGGAGATTAAATAGTATATAACGGGGAAAAACACAAGTGGACATACCCTTAAAGTTAGAAATATACATACATATATATATATATATAAGGAAGGTAGATAGATAGATAGACAGCAGCAATACGGAATCACTTCATTTTTATTTATTTCACCATAATTATATCTTTTAATCTATGGTAGTTCTATAGTAGTGTCATATTCAAGTCCTGATAGAGTTTTACTAATTCACTGACCGAGTCCATGCTTAAGCTATGGTTTGGATAACATTCTTTGATTTGTATCCATGTAATCTTGGATCGACAAAGCTATTTAAAGGTTAAGAGACATTTGTTGGAGAAAAGTGATAAACATAAAAGAAAGGGAATTGTTTACAAGCAGCATGAACAAAAATCATTGATAAAACATGATAAATAGATGAGAATATTGCAAAACTTTCTCCAGGAAAATGGAAATCATAAATAGAGGAAAAAAAATCAACATGACCATCATTGAGTTCCAGAGCTGGTACAACAAAAAAAGAATTGGTGTTTACCTTAGGTGCAAGCATGTAAAAGACACTATTGTCAACACCCCTAAATGATAAGATGGGGCCATTTTCATTTCCTTCTGCAGTGTGATTGAAAACAACATCCAGAATCACCTGTTTTACTTGAACTTAGTAAACCGAAATTTAATGGTATATATGCCAAAACATTGTCAAGGAAACTTTACCTCAACCCCACGCTTATGAGCTTCCCTTACAAGATACTTAAACTCATTCACTGCACCTATGCCATAATGGCCAATACCAGCAGATGAATATCTAGCCATGGGTGAAAAAAAATTGATCGTGGAATAACCCCAAAAGTTCATCCTGGATATGAAATAATGAAGTTGAAAAACAAAATTAATTCTCCAACATCTTTTCACCACATTGTTTAAATAAGCAAGATCACAAAAGCCATGGTAAATTATATGAATCACACATGTGTTTCTTCTACCAGTAGCATAGATATAAGGGATGAATTAATGAGCATTGATGTACAAATATAAATTATAAACCTTTAAAAATAGAACAGAGTAACGTCATACTTGTAGTCGCCCATTACACTGTTGTAGCTGTAATATTCCAATTCATTGAATTCATGACATGGCATTAGTTCAATGCAGTTGACACCAAGTTTCTGCAAAAGCATATAAATATATCATATGGAACCTGAATTAAAGTTGTCATTGATAACATGGTAGCTGCACCTTCAAAAGCTACAAGGATTATAACCAAATATGCAAGTGTTGAGAAAAGTATTCTATAAACAGGTAGCCTAGTCACAAGTTCATTAGTATTAGTTGCAAATATTCAAATATTAACTAATTAGTGAAGCATGTTGCAAGAGAATTAGTTTGATGTGCAATCTAATACAAGAAGAAAATTAAATAAAATTACATGACTGCAGTTGAATTTTACCATCAAGTAATCAAGTTTCTCCACAACCCCAAGGTAAGTGCCAGGATGTTTGGAGTTGCTTGACTCATGCCTTGTAAACCCACGAACGTGCATCTCATATATGACCAAATCTCTTTGTGGCAGCTTTAGGGGAAAATCTCCTTCCCAGTCAAACTAAAAAACAAGCATAGACAGGCATAAACCGGGAAAAAAAAAAAAGTCACTTTCCCAGATTAACACAGATAATATTCATACTCCATAAATGATATGCATCATGCCTGCAGAGGATACAAAATATCAAACATTTTGATCACACATCATCTATGATATTAATAAATTACATCATCGTTAGCAGAAGGCACCAAACACGCCATCTGAGGCCAGCACTCCTTCTCTGGTCCTAAAGCACCATATTCCCCTCTGCTCAAAACAGCCTACATTGTAACCATAGAAAATCTAATTAAAACAGGCTATATTATCATAAAAGACAAACACATAATTCTTCCTCTAATGGCAGCTACTAAAATCAATATGTGTAAATCAATATTAAGAGAGTCAAACTGACCTTTGCATAAGGGTCAATTAGTATTTTAGAAGAATCAAAGTAAAGTCCATTTTCGGGGGAGAAGCTCCCATCGAATCTGTATCCATAGACCATATCTTCAAAATCACCTTTGAGAAACACATGCCAGACGTCTCCTGTTTTGTTGTTCTCTGGGTTTAGGGCAATTTGTTCAGTCACTCTATTCTGCAACAAAAATTTCACAGTAAAGAAAGGCGCACTTAGACCACAGGAACATTCAAACAATGTTCTTCACCTTTAGTTAAAACACAAAACATAGGCTAACAACTTCAAAGCAAACAAAAACAAGAACATACTTTTGACCAACATCTTCGATTGAAAATGAAGAATCATAAATCAGGATGGTGGAAAAAAACTATTTCAACACAGCAGACGCAACGCAACGACAATAAAATGATGCGTTACCTCAGACAAATCAGAGAGACTGATCAAGCAGAGAGTAGCCGACGAGGAATTGCTCGAGAAAATCGAGAAATTCACACCACCGTCTCTCGGCGTGGCACCGAACGGCGCAGGATGGCCGGAGAATATCTCAAAACGACGCCGCTCTGGCGGAGGCTTCTCGACCACCAACGCAGTCTCCGCCTCACCTCTTTCAACCGCATTATTGGAAATCACGAAACGAGTCGATCTCTTGGCATTATTAACTGTGGAGGAGTCGCTCGGAAATCCAACCATTAAATTGCTTTTCCGGCGCCCCCGGTACTTGTTCGGAATGAATTTCGGCGGCAGTTGTAGTTGCAGTTGCAGTTGCAAGTCCATGTCCACCACCACCACCACCGAGATTGGTGCGGATTCCAATTTCAGGGCAGCGAGGCAGTCTGGAGGAGAGGCATTGCGGAGAGAGGCAACCCAACGCCTGTAATCTTGGGTGAAGAAATATCACAAAGAAAAGAGTAGACGCTGCTGACTGGATATTTTTGGAAACTATTTGATTTGGGGGTAATTGATTAGAGTTTTTTTTTATATATATAAACTAGTTTTTTTAATTTTTTAGAAAGTTAATTGAATTCTGTTTGAAAATAGTTTGTAAGTAAATTTTTTTAGTTAAAATGTTCTCTGGTGTCGGATTCACCAAGTTGGCTGTCGTTTCGTTGTTGACGTGGCACCGACGGGGCTAATATTTTATCACCACATAGATGTCGCAGAACTATTTTCAGACATAGTCTATTTAAATGTTCTAAAATTAATAAATAAGGTCATATACGGAATTAAAAAATAGTTTACCAAGATATTTTGTAAAAAAAAAAAAAAAAAAAAAAAAAAAATTCACGTGTCACTGATTGTGGCATTTACCTGGCTTGCGATGACATATCAGTTGCGTCAGCACTACGTCAGCAACGACAGACCGGCGAATTCGACACCATAGGATCATTTTAATGAAAATTTTTTATTTACAAATACCATTTTCACATATAGTACACTTAAAATTCTAATATAATAAAAAATGATAAGATAAAAAATAAAAAAAATAAAAAAAAAAAAAAAACAATTTACCTTTTGTATTCTATTAAAATTACTATGACCGTGGCTATTAAATTTATTCTATTGAAATTAATTTTAAATTTGATGCAATGCTATTTTTTTTTTTTTTCTTCTTCATTGTTCTGTGGTGGAAATTTGACCATTTATTTTTTCTTTTTCATCTCTCTTTTTCTTATTCTTTTACAAATAAGATTTACAGGTTTGTGTACGACCATACTCCATATGGTTGTTTGGGAAGATAACTCTTTGAACTTTTAACTTATTAGCAGACGTCAGGCGAAAAGCTATTTAGGTGTGTGATACATTACACTTAGCTGTTTGATTGGGATTTTGAATTTTGAGTTGGGATTTGAATAGTAAAAATTTTAAACTGTAATAGCTGTATAATTTGAAATAAATAAGTATTGATGAGATGTTTTGAATGTAAAATTAATTTTTAGTATAATATAAAAAATAAAAAATAGGTATTTGATTTGATATTTTTTGGGGTAAAATTTTGGATGAATAATAAGATTTTATCAAAATCCTTCGAACCGAACACTTTAGATTAAAAAAAAAATTAATTTTTAAAAAACTATATAAGTCAGAGCTTTTTTATTTAAATTTTTTTATTTCTTATTTATTTTTAAAAAATTATTATTTATTTTACACGCATATAAATATATTTTGTATTGCAATAGTTATTAATTATTTTAATATGGTTGTTTACTTATTAAATTATAATTTTATTTTTATAAATTTAAAATAATTGAAGTAATTAATTTATATATATAATTTATTTTATTTATGAAATATATAAAATTATTAAAAAAAATTATATTAAAACAAAAAAATAAATATTATTAATTTAAATTTATATATAATTTTATATTAAAATAATAAAACAGAATAAATTTATTGAAAGATATAAATTTGATAATTTAATATATTAATCAATAATTAACATAATAAATATATATACCAAAATTTTATTATTTTATATTTTACATAATTTTCAATAAATAAAAATACACTACTCCCTCTATCACATGACAAGGATGGGTAAACCCCGGTTCGCAGGTCATCCCTTACGGTACAAGTCGGCCATGGTTTTGGAAATACATAATTGAATCTGTATTCTCTAAGAAATAGACAATGAACAATGGAGTAATCTTGAATTGATTTCTTTAGACCTATTTCTTTGGATTTTATTTTCTCAATTCCAAAAATGATAGTATTAGGCTTGTTATGCACCAAAAAAAAAATAATAATAATAATAAAAATAAGGATAGCAGGATCTTAAAGGAAGTTAGACATGAAGTCGGGTGGAAAGGGAGAAAAATTTTCGGTCAGGTCAGTTGGTCTAGTCGGTTGGTCCTCGGTCGGTTGGTCCGATCGGTTGGTCCTCGGTCAGATAAGCAGGTCGGAAGGTCTGCGGTCGGATAGTCAGGTCGGTTGGTTAGCGAGTCGGATGGTCCATAGGTCGGAAATTCTGCAGGTCGGTTGGTCGGAAGGTCTGCGGTCGGATAGTCAAGTCGGTTGGTTAGCGGGTCGGATGGTCCATAGGTCGGAAAGTCTGCAAGTCGGGTGGTCAGCAGGTCGGATAGGCAGGTCGGTTGGTCAGCAGTCGGATCAATAAGTCAGATGATCTGCAAGTCGGGAGGTTTGTGGTTGGACCAGTAAGTTTGAAGGTCTGTGGTCAGACCAACAAGTCGGTTTGCAGTCGGTTGTTCCGTGGGCGGACCAAATAAAGTCGGCTGCTACGGAGGTCGGGTAAAGTAAGGTCTGGTAATTGATTGCCCACTTAAGTGAACAGTAGTTTGGTCGTTTGGTGGGGGCGGCTAAGGAGTCTTTTGGTCTAGCGACCAGTTAGTCGCTGGATTAGTCGATTGGGTTATGCAGTTGGCGAGACGGTTGCTGTAACTGACCATGCGACGTTTCAAAACGTTTCTTTTGGGCGGTTGACGACGGTTGCTGTAACTGACCGAACGACGGTTCCAAGCGTTTTCTTCAAGGAATATTTAAGGATTTGGATTTTTCTAGAAAAGGCATCTTCAATCAACTTCAACAAAAGCAAAGTCAGATTCGGGGATCACCACTTTAAATTTTCAGCATTTAATTTCCAGTTATTTCCTTTTATGTACCGTCAGTGTTTCGAGATTCCTAATCTCAGACGCTAATTAATCAAGTTTAAAGATATTTTTCATATCTTTGAATTTTACTTTTTGTTTGTTGTAAAAATACATCAACAAATTGGCGATCACGGTGGGAGAAAGGCAAAATTGCTGATCCTACATCATCAGAAAATGTCATACGACTGAGGTCCGGCCGAATGATCAGAAAGATCAATATGGCAGACTCACAACCTCAATCATCATCAGCACCGGTGGGAGAAAATATTTCACCACCCGCCATGCCAAATCCATGGGAGATTCCTCAACCACCTACCGATTGGTTGTCTTATGTTCAACAATTGAACAATTAACAAACTTTGGTTATGCAGAACATGTTGCGTGAACAACAAAATCTAATGCAGAACATGTTGGATCAGGCGTTTTCCAGATTCACCCTGTATCCAAACATGCCTCCAGCCGTGTCACCTTCTCGTTTTCAGGCGACTTTTCCAGGATCAACGTTTGCAGGGCCAACGTATGTTGACAGTACGTTTCCAAGGGTCACAACTTTTAACCAAACAGATATGGGGAAGACTCCTCTAACTTTTCCAAATAATGTTCCTTTGGGACCGAGAGTTGATAATACCCAGCCGAATGAGAGGTTGGGGGGACAGGCTCATAATCTCATCCCAACCGAGCCAACTGTCCCCAGAGAAGAAAGATTGGGAGATCAGATTTATAATCCCATCCCAGACGAGCCAGCCTTCTCTAGGGAAGATTTTGTTCCACCCAGGGTAGATCCAGAGGACATCGCTCGAGATTTGCGGGTACAGTTCGGAATGAATCCGCAAACGGTGAACCGACCGGTGTATCAGAGGCCATTTCCGGAAAGGATCATCAACGATTATCCTCTCCTGAGGAATTATCGACTGCCAGACTTTCATGTTTTCTCAGGAGAAGACGGATCCTCCACCATAGAGCATGTTGGTCGGTTCACAACGCAGTTAGGAGAGATCGGTAACAACCCTTTTTATAAACTGCAACTATTTGGTTTGTCTCTTACCAGAACAGTTTTTTCGTGGTTTGTCGATCTACCACCTGGACAAATACAAACCTGGGAAGGTTTGGAAGCGGCCTTTCATGCAAGGTTCTTTATTCTTCTTCCAACAGTCTCACTCACAGACCTTTTTGAGATCGAGCAGATGCCGGAGGAGACCGCCTCCCAGTTCATAGAACAGATGCGATTGCTGAAGGGACGTTGCCCAACAATTATTGAAGAAAGCGAAATGACCACTTTGATGGTCAGGAAAATGCACACCAACCTTCGGGAGGCTTTGACAGCCCACGATGTTCGAGATCTGGCTAGTTTAGCATCCAAGGCAGGAAGTTTAGAATCATTTTTCAAAGAGAATGATCGCGGCTTCGGTCAAGGGAAAGGTGTTGAAGAAATGGTAGTGCAAGGTCGACCAACGCGCGGGCCACCGCCAATCTACGATAAATGGAGGTCGGGTCCAACGTAGCCTTGAGAGAAGGAGGTCGGATCTGAGGCTGATGTGACCTCGGATGACGGCCTGCAAACTCCTAAAACATCACTGAAAGTGACGCTTAGGAGTCTTGAGGAGGAGGCTTATTGTTATGCACAAATAATAATAATAATAATAATAATAAAAATAAGGATAGCATGATTTTAAAGGAAGTTAGACATGAAGTCGGGTGGAAAAGGAGAAAAATTTGCGCTCAGGTCGATTGGTCTGGTCGGTTGGACCTCGGTCGGTTAGTACTCGGTCGGTTGGTCCTCGGTCAGATAGGCAGGTCGGAAGGTCTGCGGTCGGATAGTCAGGTCGGTTGGTTAGCGAGTCGGATGGTCCATAGGTCGGAAAGTCTGCAGGTCGGTTGGTCGGAAGGTCTGCGGTCGGATAGTCAAGTCGGTTGGTTAGCGGGTCGGATGGTCCATAGGTCGGAAAGTCTGCAAGTCGGGTGGTCAGCAGGTCGGTTGGTCAGCAGTCGGATCAATAAGTCAGATGATCTGCAAGTCGGGAGGTTTGTGGTTGGACCAGTAAGTCTGAAGGTCTGTGGTCAGACCAACAAGTCGGTTTGCAGTCGGTTGGTCCGTGGGCGGACCAAATAAAGTCGGCTGTTACAGAGGTCGGGTGAAGTAAGGTCTGGTAATTGATTGCCCACTTAAGTGAACAGTAGTTTGGTCGCTTGGTGGGGGCGGCTAAGGAGTCTTTTGGTCTAGCGACCAGTTAGTCGCTGGATTAGTCGGTTGGGTTATGCAGTTGGCGAGACGGTTGTTGTAACTGACCAGGCCACGTTTCAAAATGT